GAAAGAAATAAAGTCAAATGCAAGCAAATAGCAAGTGAAGCGCAACCGTCAATTGTACTTTAATGCAACTGGTAGGTATGAAGAAATTTTGTAATCATGAAACGAAATAGGGTGACTACATCTCGTGTCCTTTGGCCAGTGGGGCAAAAGGGGAGGCCGATATTTCGAGGTACCTGTGAGTACTTGGAGATGGCCTCGCTGCCCCACTTGAGGCCGGCGGCGAGGAACCAGGTGACGGTGAGTATGACCCACCAGACGGCGGCGGCCATGCCGAAGAGGTAGGTGAGTAGGAAGACGAGGCTGCAGACGGCCGGTCCGGTGGTGCCGCGTCGCAGAGCGGCGCCGTCGCAGGCGACGGCCTCGTGTCCGAGGCCGACGCGCACGAGGTAGCCGAGGGCGAGCATGAGGTAGCAGGCGGAGAGGTGGACGATGGGTCGTTCGGGGTATGTGAATCGGGCGGGGTGGACGAGGAAGGTGGCCAGAGTGGCGAGGCTGGAGAGGGCGCAGAGCACGGCCCACAGGCCGAGCCAGAAGCCGACGAACCGGCGGTCGGGCCGGCCCGCGAACGCGGCCGCATGGCAGCCCGCCAGGCAGTTGGGCGGCCCCACGACCACGGCGCCCTCGTTGAAGGCGGCCCGAGGCCCGCTGGGCAGGTAGGGCGCTCGGCACCGGCAGGCCAGGCAGAGGCGCAGCTGGCGCCGTCTCGGCCGGCCGGACTCGAGCCCGGTTTTGGCTGTGGCCTCGGCGACCGAGTGCCAAGCCTGAGGGCCGCCGCCGCCGCCGCCGCCGCCGGCGGTTGCGGCGGCCGTGAGACGGTGCAGCAGTTCGGGCAGCAGGTCGAGCTCGAGGCGGCCGGCGAACTCGGCGTCGCCGAGTCCCGCGGACTGGCCCGGCGGACTCGGGCCGAGGGCCATCGGCGGCGCCGTCGCCGGCGTCAGGCCTGCGCCGGCTGGCGCCTTGGAGCCCGAGGGCGTCTGGACAGAGCCGGTCGTTCGGCTCGGCTGCGCCCACGAATGATTCGGCTCCACGACTTCCTCGTCGCGCGAACGGTTGCCCGACGCGCTGGTCGCCGAACTAGGCACGGGAAT